CCCTCCAGGGCCCCGGATTTCGGGGAGGCATGGTGGAGAACAGAGGCTGCCAAGAGAGGCCGCGCCCTTGGGGATGTCAGCCCTTCCTGCCTCCTTTCTGGAATCCTCCGTGAGGCCCGTGGCACTCCCTGGGGCCTCTCTGCGTCAGCCTGAAGAGGCCAGGCCTGGAGGCCGGGTGGCCGAGCATGGGGCAAAGGGTCGCCGGGACATGTACCACCAACGGGGTGAAGGCCAAACTAGGAAGGGAGGCCCGGAGGCCGGGCCCGGAGGGGACAGGGCGGCCTTGTTGAGGGACCAGAACCCAACAGCACCGCCTGGCTTTTCAGAGACTGCCACCCACGCCCGCCCGCCAAAATGGCCCAGCTACCCGGGAGGGAGGCCGAGGCGGGAGGCTCGCGCGAGGCCAGCCTCTGCAAGGCGAGGCTGCAGCTGTGCACGGAGGGGACGGCACTTACCGCGGTGGACAGCCGGGACGCCAGGGTCATCTCCAGGTTGCCCTTGAGGCCCACGAGCGGCGGCACCAGCGTGAGCAGGTCGCGAACCCCCAGGAACACGGGCCAGTGCTGGCGGGAGACCGGGACGGGACGAGGACGCGCTCAGCGCCTGCCGGGAAGCTCGTTCCTTTTTTGTTTTGAGACCGAGTCTCGCTTTGTTGTCCAGGCCGGAGTGAGCGCCGTGGCGTCGGCCTCGCTCACAGCAGCCTCCGACTCCTGGCCTCCAGCGAGCCTCCCGCCTCGGCCTCCCTCCCGAGTCGCTGGGACGGCAGGCGTGCGCCTCCACGCCCGGCTCGTCTGTCTCTATATTTCTAGTTGTCCAGCCAACTTCTTTCTATTTTCAGTCGAGACGGGGCCTCGCCCTTGCTCAGGCCGGCCTCCACCTCCTGGCTGACTCTACGAGCGTCCCAGCGGCAAAATCTCTCCCCGACCGGAGTGGAGGCCGGGCTCAGCGGGGCGGGGAGGCCCGAGCCTCTCTCTCTGCAGACGCCTGTCCCCAACTGAGACCCCCCTTGGTCCCCTCCCGGGCCCGGACCCCCGTGCCAGCGACGTCGTGTTTTTGTACATTGCAGAGTCTGGAATTGGAGGCCGGCTCGGCCTCGCCTGGGGGGGCAGCAGCCGTCGGCCCCTGTCCCTCCCCACGGGGACCAAGACACTCACGGGCTCCCATGTGACCCCCACTGGGCGGTGGGGGGGTGATGGGCTTTCATTATCCGGATTTTACAGATGGGGAAACTGAGGCAGCGAGCGCTGGCAGCCTCCCCACGGGGACCTCAACACACTCGGACGGACTCCGTCTTCTGACCCACCCGACCACTGCTGGGCACTGGGGGGGATGGGCTTTCATTGCCCGCATTTTATAGATGGGGAAACTGAGGCAGTGAGTGCCCGGCGGCCTCCCCATTCTTGTGGGCGAGGCCACACGCGCTGGAGGGAGGCAGTTTAAGGTCCCTGGGGCCGGCGACTGGGCGAGGCTGGCCTCCAGTACCGAGGTGCCCCGTGTACCCAGGGTGTCGGTGGCTGTCCCCTCCTGCTCCCCAGCGTGTGCCCATCCTGACCCAGCTGGGGTTCCCGAGGCCATCCCAGCCTCCCGGCCTCCCTGCCTCCTGGCCTCCCTGCTTCCATGCGTCCCTGCCTCCCAGCCTCCCTGCCTCTCAGCCGCACTGCCTCCCAGCCTACGAGCCTCCTGGCCTTCCTGCCTCCCAGCCTCCCTGCCTCCCGGCCTCCCTGCTTCCATGCCTCCCTGCCTCCCGGCCTCCCGGCCTCCCAGACTCCCTGCCTCCCGGCCTCTCAGCCTCCCAGCCTCCCTGCCTCCTGTCCTTCCTGCCTCCCTGCCTCCCGACCTCCCAGCCTCCCTGCTTCCTGGCCTCCCAGCCTCTCTGCCTCCATGCCTCCCAACCTCTTAGGCTCCCAG